GAGAGATTTTCACTATAGGGCGCGTGCGCTCGCCAGACAGACAGAGAGAGACAGAGACAGAAAGCGAGAAATCATCCCCCAGGGGGGATGGTCACGCCGCAATCCCTTCTCCTCCATTCTCCTCTCGGGATCCTGGGCACGCACGCACACGCACCCAGCGTGAGTTTTAAGCCACTGGGTCCGGGACGTGAACTGCGGTCGACTACGTGGGAATCCAGCGACATAGTCATTACACTAACTGCTGGTTCCCAAGTCATGATGCATTTTTGCATAGAAAAATACATCATGACTTTTCCTATGACCTAACACAATTTAGCAGAAACTGGGAGGGGGGGGGGAGCATAGTTAATCCCTAGAGTGAATCATCTGCCTGTGCCCCAGTAGGAATAAAGAGTGAATCTATGTAGCTGAGAAATCTGTTCATCAGCCTTCCTTCTGGGTTGTATAATTGAGAATAAAGATGAAATAAAAACTAAAATCTCACTAATTTACAGCCATATAAACTGTGTTGCATTGGGGCCAACAGATGGCATGGAGGTTAAGGTGATTGGATCGCACATGGCCAGCTGCACAGTTCAAGTCCCTGACCAGGTGGCTCGGAAAATACATCAGGAACGTGTGTGTGTGTGCTCGCGCATGCCCAAAATCTTGAGAGGAGGATGAAGGAGAAGGGACTGCAACATGGTCATCCATCGGGTGGGGTGGATTTCTCACTTTCCCCTCTCTCCAACTCTCTCTGTCTGTCTCACTGTTGTGCACACAAACTCTATAGCAAACTATAATAATAATTTATAAAAAACCTGTTGTACTAAGAGTTAATACAGAGAGTTAATGAATTGGACATTCCCAAATCATTCCTTGTTGGAATAATTCATCTTGGTTAAGGGGAAATTGACCCCTCTCAAGCAAGTGCTACAGTGTTTTCCAGTTCACCCATAGCAAGCCCTGGCCTGGACACTGACTTCGGATCTTGGACTAACTCAGAATCTGTGTGCAGCACATAGTATAATGTTTTGGTACGAAACCATACTCTCTGAGTCGGTGGTATGTTCTTCTAACAGAGATAAGAGCTAGACAAAGCTGAATTGCATAAGAGCCCTGAACCTCCTGTCTCGGGTTCCCTTTAACTCTCAGAGCCAGGCTTGATATGCCAGGAAAAAGGAAGTGGGACAGCCACCGTGAATTGTTTCTGTTGGCAAAAAGACAAGGAAGTGGAACGGTTTCCTCTGTAGGCACAGGTTTGACAATCAAGGTCCCTTCTGAGCCCCCTCTAGAATGGGAACTGGCATGGCGCTTTTTTCCTCCCCTTGGTTGCTAGGGGGGTAGTTTTAAACAACAAAGGGCGTCACAGACCTGAATGCTGGGGATTTAAAAATCGAGTCTGTCGGGGCCAGTGGGTGGTGTGGAGGTTAAAGCACTGGATTCCACATGGCTGACAGCACAGTTTGAGTCTTGGACCTGGTGACTTGAAAAATCATGCCAGGCACATGTGCGTGCATGCCCAAAATCCTGAGAGGAGCCTGGAGTAGATGGGACTGCGGTGTTGCCATACCCCCTGAGGGGTGATTTCTCCCCCCCCCCATGTCTGTCTGTCTCTGACTAGCACACGTACCCTCTTCGCAACAATAGGCAGACAATTATATTGAGGAATAACTTCCATACAACAAAATACACTCTGGTTTTTCTTTTTTTTTTTCCTTCCAATTTTGCTAGGGTGTGTGCCCTTACCAGCGTGGACACAGAGAGGGAAAGTGAGGAATCGCATCCCAGCGGGGATGGCCACACCACAGTCTCTTTTATTCCAGTCTCCTTGTGAGATTCTGAGCACACATGCCTGGAGTGTTTTTGAAAGCCTCAGGTCAGGGACTGCAACCGCATAGCCAGCCATGTGGGATCCAGTTGCCTCAACCTCCATGCCACCTGCTGGCCCTCGCATGCGTACATGTTAAGCGTACAGTTTGAGGAATATGATAAATGTAACCCATCACCCGAACAGCATACATTTCTGTTGCTCTAGACTCACACTCCGCATTCATGTCTCTTTGTACTCCACAGCTCCTCCCCCAGGCCACCCAAGCAACCTCTTAATGATTTCTATCACTATGGATACGCGCTCTGGAATCTCATATCATTGGAAGCATATAGGTTATACTGTGTATCTGTGCCAGTCAGTTTTTGCAGCAGTTTATTGAGTTTCTGCCCCATTGCCCACTTACTTTGCCTCGCTGCCCTCCTCTCCAGATTCACGCACTCTTACACCTTCCTTTATTTCCGCGTCAATCAACTCTGGGAAGGTATGATTCCCCAGCACAGTTACTGCATTCACTCAAACTTACTCCCGCTGATATTTCAACATAAAAAAAAGTTTGGAACATAGAAAGGGCAGCAAATTAAATGTCATTTCTCCCGTTTATGCTCCTGGAGGAGTCCTAATGACTCTAGGTTATCCCCTCTGCCACATGGGGCCTCATTGAGATAATAGGATTTGCAAGGAAAGTATCTGGGAGACAGAAGGCTGTGCCTCCTCCCTCCCAATCCATTAAGTGAGCGCTAAGGTTTCCTCTGTAAGTCCTGAGTGCATTAGTGGCAGCTGGGTTGAGGGTCAAATGTCAAACACGCCGCTGTGATGGGAAAAGACATCTGTGGCTAATTAGACCACTAATTGGCTAAACTGGGGAGGGGAAGGGCAGGATCTGCTCTCTGAGCTCCGCACCAGTGGGATGCCAGCTCCCTGTCCAAGCTCCCTGAAGGGGGATGAAAGACAATGAGGAGGTTTGTTTGCAGTAAGGGCTGGGCCTCCTGCCTGTCTTCCCCAGTTCAGCAAAGGCAGGACATGGCATGGGGAACTGGCCCTGCTTGCATCAGGAGGGTCAGCGTCGGGAAGTAGCCAGGTTCCTACTTCTGTTCACTTCAAATGTAATCCTTTACCTAAAGGTAATGAGTATGTCCTCACAGCAGCCCATACAGATTTCTCCTGCCTTCAGCTAATTTCTTGAGTGGCCCTTTTTCATTGCTAGAAGCCACATGTGCTTGCCAGAGAGGAGTAGGGTGAGGGAGAGCGTGGTCACACTAGAATCCCGTCTCTGCCATTTCTCTGTCCTGTTGGGATTTGGGGTAGGTGCTCACTTGCACCCAGTGTGTTTTTCAAGCTGCTGGGGACAGTAGTTGGCCGTGTGGGATCCAACTCCCTTAATCACCAGACGATGGGGCTGGCCTGAGTGACCCACAATTAGTATGAAGATGTTCAGAGGTTTTAGTTGATACTCAGGTTGAGGGACATTTATTCAGTGATTCATTTTGCATTGGATAAATATTTACGAGTTCTTGCCATTTGCATGTCAGTGCTAGGCATCACAGACCTCCCGAAGATTGGTTGGATGATCTTTGCCTAGAAAGGTCAGTAATGTGGTCTTGCCTAGCTTAAACCCAGCAGACTCACAAAGTTTATAAGAATTAATTACAGGAGGGACCAGCAGTTGGTATAATGGCTATGTCACTGGACTCCCATGTAGTCAACTGCGGTTCAAGTCCTGGACCTGGTGGCTTAAACTGTCATACCCGGCCTGTGTGTGTGCGTGCCCAGAATCCCTAGAGGAGAATGGAGGAGAAGGGATTGAGGTTTGGCCATCCCCCCTGGGGATTTCTCGCTTTCTATCTCTCTCTTTCTGGCAAGTGCACATGCCATATAGCAAAAAACTCTCAACAAACAAACAAAAAGCAAGCAAACAAACAAAAAGCACCTTAGTTAAGCAGTGTTTTTAATAAATATTTAAAAAAAAAAAAATAGGGGCCGGCAGGTAGTGTGGTGGTTAAGAGTGCTAGATTCCCATGTGGCTGACCGCGGTTCAAGTCCCGGACCTGGAGGCTTGCTTTCTCGCTTTCCCTTTCTCTCTCTCTCTGTCTCTCTCTGGTCAAAATTTAAAAATGATAATAACAACAAATGGAAATAAAGAAATAAATATATTTTTTTAAAAAATTAATTACAGGGCCCAGCAGGTGGCATGGTGGTTAGGGTGCTGGACTCCCACCTGGTTGACTGGAGTTCAAGTGTTAGACCTGGAGGCTTGAAACTCACACTGGGCACATGTGACTTGCCCAAAATTCTGAGAGGAGCATGGGGGAGAAGGGATTGCAGCGTGGCCATTCCCCGCTGGGGAGTGATTTCTCACTTTCTCTCGCTGGCTGTCTCGGGTGAGTGAGGACATGCACTCTATGGCAACAATCTCTCTAAAAAAAAAAAAAGAATTAACTACAGTATCGGAGAGGCTGTGAGGTGGCCAAAAGATGCAAGCAATGCACCAGGAACTTCAAGATGGAAAGGAGTATTTATGGTCTACAGAATCTTGAAAACTTCATGGAGGAGGTGCCTTTGAGTTGCACCTTATCAGGTGGGAAGAATTTCAGCAGGTGGAATTGAGGCTGGGAACTTACTCATAGAGAAGAGCAGAAATAAAGTCAACCAGGGAATCTGGGGACATGTTTTTGGCAAGATGGTGGCATCCACATTGTAGCATATTGTCTCTGAGGAAGGTGGCATCCTGGTTGACAACTTCACTGTCCCTTTGCTTTGCAGATCAACGAACTGAGCAATGTCCCTGTCCCTGTCATGCTAATGCCAGATGACTTCAAAGCCTACAGCAAGATCAAGGTGGACAATCACCTCTTCAATAAGTAAGTTGCCTACTGAGCAGGTTCAGGTGCTGTGGGCTCTCCCTTCCCTCAAGTCCGAGAACAACTTTAAAAAAAAAATTATGTATTTAATTTTATTTATTCATTAATTTATTTAAATTTGACCAGAGAAAGAGAGAGAGAGTGAGAGTGAAAGTGAGAAAGCAAGCCACCAGTCCAGGACCTGAGCTGTGGTCGGTCATGTGGGAGTGTCCAGCACCCCAGCCACTACGCCACCTGCTGGTCCCCAAATCAAGAACTTCTGAAGCTTCGTGTAGGTGAGGGGCCAAGCCAGATCCTGGCTGGGTGTGACAGTGACACCTGGATCACAGAGCTGACAAACTGGCTGGGAAAATGCATTCATCTTGTGCCTATCCCCCTTGTATTACATTGTCTCCTCACTTCCTTTATCAGCTGCCTCCAGTGTCCCTTGGGGCATGTGACTGGCCCAGAGCCAGCTCAAGTAGAAGCAGGTTGCTCGGGAGCGGTGGCCCTGCCTTGATCTTGATCTTGATCTTGATCTTGATCTTGATCTTGGTCTGAGGCAGGGAACTGCCAGGTTTGTCCCCGGCTGCTCTCTGGCTGGTATTTGAGCCATGGGCATGGGGCTCAAGGGTGCCCCCCAAAGGCACTCTTCCCAATTGGATTAGCACTGGAGTTGGAAGGCTATCCCAGACATTGTTGGTGGCAGTCTAGCAGCCATCTCTCTGGGCACAGTGTGGGCCCTACTCAGAGCCCTTGGGAGGCCTTGTTTTTCTGTCCCACTACAGACCACTTCAGGAACTATCTGCAGCTCATGCTCTTCTCTTTTCTGCATGTGATTCCTCGCTCCACTCTCCACTGTCCCCTAGTCCTCACCGCCTTACCAGCTGGGCTCTGTCACTCCAGTATCACCAGGTGTTAGCCTGTTAGCCCAGAGGTGGAGTTTGATTTGAGAATATCCTTTAGTGGCCTCTCTCTGCTATCTCGTTCTAGAAACCACCTTTCTTTATAGCTGTACCTGCTAAGTGGCCACCCGAGGAAGGAGAGGCAGCCTTTAGCTCAGAGGCAGGAGGAGAAGTTGTCTGTTCCAGAGGCAGGGCTCTGGAAACAGGCCTGACACCAGTACCTGTGTCAGAGTCCAGGCCTCTGGTATAGAATTCCATCGCTTTGACACCTTGGCCTACAATAGAGCTTACATCTCTTCTTTTCTTTTATCTTGTTTCCTTTTTTCTTTCAATAACTGTTGGTGTGCTGTTTACTAGCCCACAGAGCTATTTACAGAAGATGGGGTAAATAAGGCAGACTCAGCCTCTGCCTGCATAAGAAGCCATTCCTTGATTCCTTGAAGTCCATCATCCTGGATTAGTAAGAATGACATATTTCTGAAAAGGAGTGGCTATTGTAGAGCTCGATGGTTGGGAGGAGCCATCATTTCCAGGTGATTCTCTCCTGTCCTGGAGTCTGCAGGTTGACCCGGGAGTGGGGAGGATGGTGGTGAGCGCCAACAGCAGCACACAGGGTTCCTGGAGAAGGTGGCACCTGTCACCTGACTGAGGTCCTCTTCAGGCTGCAGCACCTTTCTGTGTCTCAGCGGAAGCCCAGGACAGGGCTTCCTGGACATGGCGTCCTCAGGACGTTGCCATAGGAACGTCCCCAGAGGAGAGAGGCCCTTCGATGAGCAAGGTCTTCCCCTGTAGCAGTCAGACTGAGCGGTGTTCACCTCCTCGTAGGTGTGCACACGCAGCATCACCTGGAGCAGGAGCAGCCTTGGGAGGCCTACCCTCAATGTCACTCCCCACGGCTGAGGGTTTTTTCTCTTTGATGCAAGTTTTGCTGAAGGATGACAGACACAGAGCAGTGCACGAATCACACGCAGAGAGCTCTGCCAGTTATTTTTTTATTCTTAGGTTTTTGCTGTAGGGCATGTATGCTCACCAGAGTTCAGAGAGGGGGAAAGTCAGAAATCATCCCCCAGGGGTGATGACCAGGCTGCATTCCTTCTCCTTTCTCCTCTTGGGTTTGTGGGCACACATGCACACACACCCAGCTTGATATTCAAACTGCTGGGTCTCGAACTGGAATTGCAGTTGGCCATGTGCAGTCCTGTGCCTTAACCATTGCACCACCCGCTGGTCTTTCAGTTTTTTTTTTAATTGCCTGAGAGCACATACACTCACCAGAGAGATAGAGAGTAATAATGGACCCTCCAATGGGGCATGGCCTCACCAAATCCCTTCTCCACTTCCTCATCCTGTCGGGATTTGGGGCATGCACTCACGCATGCCTGGCATGTTTTTCAAGCCTCCAGGGCCAGGGTTCAAAGTGCATTTGGCCATGTGGGCTCAGGATCCTTTAACCACTGGATTTGGGGGCTGGCCCAGATAGATTAATTGTTACAAGGTAAACACAAGAGATGTAAAGTTTTGAATTTTGATATGTTCGGAATCATCTGGAATGTGTGTTAAAAGATTTCTAGATTCATCTCCAGAATTCCTGGGGGCCTAAAAGCCTATGTTTTAAGCAAGGCAAACTGTTCTAATCTGGGTGCTCTGTGGACCATACATGGAGGAGTTCTGAGGTCAGGATTAAGACAAGCAAGGGGCAATTTACAAAGACATGTCTCTGCTTTTCCCTAGGGAGAACCTTCCCAGCCGCTTTAAGTTTAAGGAGTACTGTCCCATGGTGTTCCGAAATCTCCGGGAGAGGTTTGGGATTGATGATCAGGACTACCAGGTATGGGGTTTCTTGGCAAAATTGGAGGGTTAGGGAGTGGAGTGGGGTCAGAAAGCCACAGGACAAGTAAAGGAAAATACGCATGGGTTTTCTTTTCTTTTTTCTTTCCTTTTTTTTTCCAGTGCCATCAGGTGTGCATGTACATGAGAGAGAGAGGAGAGAGAGAAAGCACCACCATATGGGGCCTGGCCGTGCCACAATCCTTTCTTATCCAGTTTCCCATCCCATCGGGGTCCTGGATGGACACATGCACAAGCACATACCTGGCATGTTTTACAAGCCAATAGGCTGGAGCTGGGACGTGAACCCCAGTCAGCCCTGTGGGACGCGGCTTCCTCTGTGCGGTGCCTAACAGCTGCACTAAGGGGCTGTCCTGCTGGCTGGTCTTGTGCCAAGTCTCCTGCTAGGCCTTGCCCTAGCCCATGCAGCCTCTGCTGGTACGCAGCCTCCCACACTGGTGGGCTCTAGGAGGGTCATGGGCCTTAGAAGTGCTTCTGAGGATGCCTCACAGGCCCAGGCTCTTCTCCATGGGAGGGAGAGCAGCGGGAGGGAGAGGAGTCTATGGAGCTGCTTCATTTTAGTCTGACATTCTCAGTCTAGGCTGAAGAACCCTCCTCCTTCGTAGTTTGACTTTAAAGAGAGAGAATTGTTGTCAGCGAGAGATGAGGCCTCTTACAGCAGATAAGACAGATTAGAAAAGGAAGACTTCAAGGGTAGTGTAACTTCTTGCCAGGTATGAGTGTCTCCTCCTAAGTTTCCCTCCTATCCTGGTGGTGGGAGGAGGGGTAGGCATGGCAGGGTAACTGCCCCTTTTGGAGGTGGTAGTGTCATAGAAGGCCATTGGCTTATTGGGAAGAATCGATCCCAATCTCAGGAACACAGCCGGCCTCATAGTCGATGGTTCCTGTCGCTTTTCCATGTAGCACTTCTCTTAGGACCTTCTTCCTCTGGCAGACAGCCTGATGGAGAAGGTGGAAGAATTCCCACTTCACATTCATGGCAGTAAGAAATACAGCCGACTTTCAGGTATCTGTGGGAAATAAAGGAGTGTCCAGCATAGCGACAGCTAAAATGGATGCTGAGATCTTTTATTTTATTTTTATTTTTTATTTTTTTAATTAAAAACAAAAATTATAGGGCATGTGCACTTGACAGAAAGACAGAGACAGAGAGACAGAAAGCGAGAAATCACCCTCAGGGGGGATGACCACGCCACAGTCCATTCTCCTCTCAGGATCTTGGGCACGCACGCACATGTGCCTGGCATGAGTTTAAGCCACCAGGTCTGGGACTCAAATCGCATTCGACTACATGGGAGCTCAGCGACATGGCCGTTACGCTAACTGCTGGTCCCATGCTGAGGTCTTTTAAAACGCTGTTTCCTGCCTCCCCACCCCTGAGCCTTTCACAGAGCAGAACCCAGAAGCAGAGTGGGCCTCAGGCAGGAGTCTTGCTCCCCTGTGCTCCATACTGGAGGGCCTGCATGCAAAAGAAGTACCCTGAGGAGGCCGAGGGGTAGAGAGGAGGAGGAGGAAATGCCCTTCGAAGGCCTGGCAATGACCACATCTAAGAAGTCCTGGGAGGTCCCTCTAGCTTCTTCTGTTAGGACAGAGCCCGGAACTAAATCATGACCTGATTGGAGCTTGAGGTTTTCTAAAAACTTCTTGCCAGTGTTGCAGGCCCGGCTGCTTGGACGTCTTCCCTCTACTGCGGTTCCCTCCCTTCCCCTCGGCCGTCTCACCACATCCTCCCAGTGTCTGCAGTTTGCCTCTAATAGCTTCGTGGGCACGTGACTGCTCAGAACTGAAACGAGGGCAGGGAGGGTGGTGCTCAGGGAGGGGACGCAATGCTCGTGGACAACCAGTGATGTAGAGGCCTGGAGATGCCTGGAGGTGAGGCAGGGGCACAGCCAAGCCTCCTCCTCAGCTTGCAACCTGGAAGTCTTCCTGATAGAAGGGTCAACTCTGTTACCTAGCCTACTCAACATTTGTGGACTAGGGGACACCTGGTTTGAGGGCATTCTTATTCCTGTAATGTAGAACTTTTGTAGTGGAATGCCTAGGGTTAATTTTTTTTAAAAGAATTACTTAATTATTATTATTATTATTATTATTTTTAATTTGGCCAGAGAGAGACAGACAGAGAAGGAAAGTGGGAAAGCAGGCTGCCAGGTCTGGACTCGAACCGTGGTCTGCCATGTGATCGGCCATATAGGAGTCCAGCGCCTTAACCACCATACCACCCGCCAGCCCCTCCACCACCAGGGTTTTTGAAGTGGCATTCGGTGAGGGTAAGAGTAGAGTCATCCGTAGAGATGGGGGAAAGGCTCAGAGGAGGCATTTGTGTGAGTAGATCCCCACGCATGTTTTCTTAGGAACAGGGACATCTGGGATCTCCTCTTGGCCTTGCCTCCCAAAGGTCTTCTTCCACCGTCTGCTTGGTGAACACGTCCCTGTGGTTGACTCACACCTTCCCCCACCCTCCTTGAAGTTTTTACTGCTGTCTGATCCTAGTGGGAGTGAACATTGAGGAGGAGCAGGGACAGGACCTGCAAACCTCCCCAGAGCTGCCTCCTGTCCCTGCACAGACAAGCAGGAGGCTGAGGTGAGGCTGCAGGTGTCAGGCAGAGAGACGAAGCCAACTTCCCATTACAGAAAGGGTTTTCCAGTGGCAGGGAGATAAGGGATGTGCTTGGCCTCTTGCATACTTCCCAAAGTTCGTCTTGGTCACCTAGGGGACTGGGTTAGTTGGTTGGGCCTGCCTGTTTGAGTTCCAGATGAAACGCAGACTTGAGAAGTTCAGTGCCTGTGAGGGTGGCGGTCAGAATCAAGCCCCGAACATCTGAGGCAGGGTTTTAGCTTATTGGGGTCAGATGGGAGGAGATGCGTTCACGGTCAGCCCTTCTCCCATCCTAGCCGGGGATTAGAGGCAGGGCGAAGGAAGAGCTCTTGTCACCCTGGAGGAAGGTTTTAGGGAGAGAGGGGACCCCTCATGAGGAGGTACGGTAGGGGGGAGGGTCCTGCCCAGAAGTCCCTGTCTCAATGTCTGTGGCTTGTGAGCAGTCCAGCCCATGAGAGAAGACTCGGGGTGGAAGTCAGGGTCCTTGTGCCCTCCGAGGTCAGCGGCTTTCCTCTTGGTCCTTTAGAACTCAGTGACGCGCAGCGCCCCCATCAACAGCGACAGCCAGGGCCGGTGCGGCACGCGTTTCCTCACCACCTACGACCGGCGCTTTGTCATCAAGACTGTGTCAAGCGAGGACGTGGCAGAGATGCACAACATCTTAAAGAAATACCACCAGGTATGGTGAGTCCCAAGCCTGGGCGGAGAGGAGGGGCTGGAAGGAGGAGAAGAGAGCCCCTGCAGCCATGTTTCTGTGAGGCACGAGGCCCACTTTAGGAAAGGAGATGTGTATACACGTACCCGACTCGGG